ACTTGGAAGGCTGAGGCAGAAGGATCGCCAGAGCCCAGCAGGTTGAGGCTGCGGTGGCCATGAGCGTGCCACTGTACTCCAGCCTGGACGACAGAGTAAGACTCCAACTCAAAAAAAGAAAAGATCAAGTTCCCCCATGCCTCTCCCCAAGCCCCATCCTGTCCCCCACCCTACCCCACCCACCACCTTGGGGCCCCAGGACTTACCCTGGACAACCAGCTTCACGTCACGATGTTGAGAGCCGGCCGCGTTAGTGACCACACAACTGTACCTCCCTGCATCCTCCTGCAGCGCCCGGTCGAGGTGGAGGCTGCCATCGGCTCGGATGGAATGTCGGCTGCCAGGCAGGAGCTGGGGGTGGGAGGAGGCAGCCGCTTGGCCACGGACCCCAGTTGGGGGCCGCCGAGAGGGAATCCTCGGGAAACTCCTCTGCTCACAGGCAGGACTGAGAGGCCAGGACTTCAGAGGAGGCCGAGGAGCTCTGAGTCACCCCCATGTGCCCTACACAGGTCCCCCAGGCCCTGCAGGACTAGGAGGGCTGGACCCCCTGACCCTCCGACCCCACCTCTCCCTCGGCCTGACTCAAGCTGGGCCCGGGGAAGCCTCTCCTGGGAATGTGAGGTGGAGGCCAGAGCCGTCGGTGAGTCGGGGCCAGGGTTCCTAGGGACAGCTCTTCTACCCAAGGCCACGGAGAACAGGGACACCCCGTGGGGACGAACAGAGCCTCGTGACCAGAGGAAATAGAGGCCATTGGGCCCTTTTCAGTTCTGACCCAGCAGGACCAGCGTGGCGTGAGGGGGCACGACCCTGGAATTGGGCCTAGGGCAGCTTCTGTGCAGACATCCCACCAGCCCACCGTGGAGAGGGGCCCAAGAAACCCTCTCAGCCTGGGAGTCGACGGCACGTCCCACCCTCAGGATCCCAGAGAGGCTCCTAGCCTGCCTGGGCCCAGGCCCTTCGGGGCTGAGTGAGGTGAAGGGGTGTCTCTCCCTGCCCAGCTGGGGGTGGGTGACATTCCACCAATGCCCCACGGAGCAAAGAGGCTCGGTGTGACTGGCCTCTCCCCGGCCTGGTGTGGAGAAGGTCCAAATCCACTCTGTCCCACATGCGCATCAGGTCTGCTCAAGGAGTCATCCTCCAGGAAACCTCTCACCTCACACTCCTGCCACCGCCGCCCTAAAGTCCCCACCTGCTGGCACCTTAAATTAATAGGAGGGCACCTTTTTGCAGCCTCCAGGGCACAGGGACCCCTGGTGTGTCTGAAAACAAGGCAAAATAATTGAGGAAAAGGAAGAGGTAAAGAAAGAATTGGCCAGGTGTGGTGGCTCACACCTGTAATCCCAGCACTCTGGGAGGCCGAGGCAAGAGGATTGCTTGAGCCCAGGAATTCGAGACCAGCCTGGGGAACATAGCGAGACTTTGTCTTAAAAAAAATAAAATAATTATCCAGGTGTGGTGGTGCACGCCTGTCATTCCAGTTACTCAGGAAGCTGAGGTGGGAGGATCGCCTGAGCTCAGGAGGTGGAGGCTGTGGTGAGCTGTGATTGTGTCACTGCACTCCAGCCTGGGTGACAGAGCGAGACCCTGACTCAAAATAAAAGAGAGAGAAACAGGGCACTGGCAAAGCAGAGACCAAGCATGGATGTGACAGACCCCTCCTTCCCCGGGCCACCACCAGCAGCACCCAGAAGCCCAGCACTCACAGACAGGCCGTCCTTAAGCCAGCGCCTCTCTGGAAGGGGCCGCCCGGCCAAGACAACACAGGGCAGGGACACGGGCTGTCCCTCCAGGACCCGGACGGTGGAGGCGCTGCTGGCGATCTGGGGTGGGGCTGAGGGGAGAGGAAATGGTGTCAGCCACAACAGGTTCCCTGCAGATGGCCATCTGAGGGACAGGGGCCATCACGCCCTCTCTCCCTCCCAGAGTGCCCACAGGGACATCAGAATGGAGAATCCTGAAGAGTCAAAGGACCCCGGGACAGTGCCCAGGAAGCCTGGGACAGCGCAGACGCAGCTCCTGGAGAACATGGCCATGGACACATCTGTCCTGGTGGCCAGGAGCGGCCTCCCTGGGGGAGCCCGTGGCCCGGTTGTGCCCTAGGAGGCACCACCTCCCCCCTCCCACGACCCTCTGATCCACCCGCAAACCGTGTCCAGTGACGATGAGCCGGGCCTCGGCCTGGACTTTGCCAAAGACGTTTCGAGCTTCGCAGACATAGGGGGCCTGGTCTTCAGGGGCCACACCTGAGGGCGGGAAGGAGGCGGGTGTGACTGCCAGGGCACACCATGGCGGCAGCCCCCACAGACTCCAGCTGCCAGGTGCAGAGAGAGCCCTGGGCACGACCTGGCCCTGCAGCTGAGACGGCGGAGAGGAGAGGATCGGGCACAGTTGGACCTTGGAGGGACGAGACGACTGCATGGGGATAACTGATCGATGCCTGCACCTTTTTAAAAATTAGGTGAACTCACTGGCATTCTCCTACGTACATTATGTTTTTTTTGTTTTTTGAGTCAAGGTCTCGCTCTGTGGCCCAGGCTGGAATGCGGTGGCACAATCATGGCTCACCGCAGCCTCGACCTCCTGGGCTCAGGCGATCCTCCCACCTCAGCCTTCCATGTAGCTGGGATGACAAGCACACACCATGATCGGCTAATTTTTTGATGTATTGTAGAGGTGAGGTCTCGCTATGTTGCCCAGGCTGGTCTTAAACTCCTGGGCACAAGCGATCCTCTCACTTCGGCCTCCCAAAGTGCTGGGATTACAGGCGTGAGCCACCACGCCTGACAATACCTGTACCTTGTAGTGTGATGAAGAGGGGTCGATGAGGTGACACAAAGTGCTCCCATCAAGCCCAGCCCAGAGTAAATGGCAACAGCCACCATACTAATTATGGTAATGATGGCGGCATCCATATACATAGCAAGTGGCCCTGTCAGGAGCTGTGCTACATGCTTTCTGCATGTTACACACACACAGCCCTGTAATATGAACCAGTTAGTCACCGCGGGTAGCAGGCTTTGTCATGCTCATGGGCATGACCAGGCTCGGAGCAGTGGACTCACTTGGCCAGGGTTACCTGCGTCAGGCTGCACTGTGGTCAGGGCTGGGGTGTCAGGGTCTTGCTCCCAGCCATCAGCCTGGGGGTCTAGGGTGTCGGAACCCATGCTTTCTCCCCGCCCACCCTGCCCAGCCCCAGCCCCTTACTTTCAAAGAACAGCACTCCTGAATCCGGCTGCTGAGTCCCACGGTCCCGAGCGGGCCCCCGACTGGACCCCAGTGGCTGGCCATCTCCACGGCGCCAGGTGACCGTCGGGGGCGGGCGGCCTATGGCCCGACACGCCAGGAGGGCGCTCCTTCCCAGCTCCACAGTGACATCCCGAGGCGGCTCCGTCAGCCGGGGCGCATCTGCGGGGAGGTGAGGGGGTCAGCGACGTCCGGCGGCTGGACCTGCTGTGCCCCAGGGGACAGCCTCCCTCCCCACCCCTCCCGTTGCTGGAACTCCCCTCTTCCACCCTCGCCTTCGTGAACGTGGGGGCTGACTCCTGTCCAGAGCTCAGGGCCAGTCTGAGCTTAACGGGGTTTATGCCTGCAGGGCTCTCGGGACGAGGCGTGGGAAGCAGACTTTGGTTGGAGAGACGGTGACTTCGTGACTTCGTAACCCTGCATGGGGTCTCAGGGGCATGGCTGTGCTCCATTCGGACAGGGGAGCAACATACCCACTGCTGGTTGCACCACCTCCAGGAAGTCCCCTCCAGGGGACTCCCGGGCACCCACTACTGGGACGGGGCATGCCAGGAGGAGTGGAGGTGAGCCCCCTGCCTCTTGGACTCCCTCTCCCCCATCCCCTCCTCCTGGGCCCTAGAGGACTTTCTTCCTCTTGGAGGCATCTAGACTTCCCTCCCATATGCTTAACCCCTGACCTTGGTCAGGCCTGCCTCTGCAGGGGGAACACGGCCAGCTGGGCTGGTGGCCGTGGGATGGAGGGGTGAGGGCTCGGCTGACTGCCCCTTCTGCTTCCACCACTCCAAAGGGCCAATGTCGTGGGGCAATTACAGGTCTTCTTTACTTTGTCTCCATGAATCCAATTTTTGATAATAAGCGTACAAAACACTACTGCAAGATTAAAACTTGTTCGTTAACGTCACCTTACACATTGGGGTCCAAACTGGGCCACTCAAGAGAGAAAGAAATGTGTGGGGTTTTTTCAAGTCTGAGTCTCGCTCTGTCGCCCAGGTTGAAGTGGTATAATCATAGCTCACCACAACCTTGATCTCCCGGGCTCAAGCAATCTCTCCGCCTCTGTCTCCTGAGTAGGACTACAGGCATGCACCACCATACTCAGCTAAATTTCCTTTTTTTTTTTTTTTTTTGTAGAGACAGAATCTCCCCTTTGGCCCAGGCTGGTCACAAACCTCTGGGCTCAAGCAATCCTCTTGCCTTGGCCTCCCAAAGTGCTGGGATTACAGGTGTGAGCCACCGCACCCTGCTAAGAGGCTGTGTTAATAATGACCCCCAGACAACAGGCCTGAACTGTTGTCACCATCCCAGTCACCTGAGTTATAAGAAACTCAAATAATACACAAAGGATGGAAATGTTTCTAATCCACACCCGAAATCCCTGGCCCTTCCCTACAGTTACTGCGGTTAACAGTTTGCAGTGTTTCTTCCAAATCTTTTTTCTAAGCATCAAGTCTTCCCTTTATAATCAGGAGAAGCAAAAAGGAATCAAGTTATTTGCCAAAACAGAAACTCAAGCTCCTTTCTGCCCTCCAACCTCAGAGGGGTCCGAGCCCTTGCCCTGCAGCCTCAGGGCACTGTCCTCTGGCCTCAGCCCCCAGACCCATCCAGCAGGGAGACCCCTGGCCTTTTTCTTCTTCTTTTTTTTTTTTTAACCCTTCGAGTCTGGCGCCATGGCCCAGCCTCCACCTCTTTGTTCTTCCCGCCTCTCTCCAGAAATCTCCCTCATCCATCCAAATCATGACATGAAATTTCCCTCCTGGCCTCAGGGATTAGGGAAGTTCCAGGAAGATATAAACACAACTTGGAAACTGACTGCAAGGAGGAAGCCGAGGTTGGACCCCGGCTCAGACAACACCCTTCCTCACTGGGGCCTGGCCGCCACCGGAGTTCAGATCTCCGAAAGCCTTTGCTTGGGCTTGCCCCAGACAGGGTCACTGTTCCTGCTGCTTTGCCGTCCCCCACTCGCCCCAAGCAGAGTACCCTGACAGCCTGCCTCCCCGAGCTGTACCCCGTCCAGGTCCCCCTCCTCCAAGCAGGCCTCCCATTCCTTTCCCTTCCAGAATGCTCGTCAAGCCCTTTCTCTCCTTAGCCCCAAATGGGCCTGCTTTGTCTCCTGATTCTAGGATTTTTTTTTTTTTTTAAGACAGAGTTTTTCCCTGTTGCCCAGGCTGGAGTGCAGTGGTGTGATCATAGCTTACTACAGCCTCGACCTCCTGGACTTAGCAATCTTCCCACCTCAGCCTCCCAAGTAGCTGGGACTATAGGCGTGCAACACCACACCTAGCTAATTTTTTATTTTTTGTAGAGATGAAGTCTCGCTACGTTGTCCAGGCTGGTCCTGAACTCCTGGCCTCAAGTGGTCCTCCCACCTTGGCCTTCCAAAGTGCTGGGACTACAGCCGTGTACCACCATACCCAGCTAGTTTTTTATTTTTTGTAGAGATGAAGTCTTACTACGTTGCCCAGGCTGGTCATGAACTCAGCCTCCCAAGGCACTGGGATTATAGGTATGAGCCACCACACCTGGCTCCTGGGATATTCTGAAGCCCACCTTCTTCTCCATTCCTTTTACAGTCCTGAACAACCCAGCTGAGAAGAGACAGCTCACTTATAAGGGTCAATAGTAGCACTTTACGCTTGTAGCACCATGATTTTCACACACATCTCAATAAACCCATAAAGTAGATATTAACAAGCCCCATTTTACAGATGAGAAAACTGAGTGTCAGAGAAATGAAGGAACCTGCCCGAGGTCACAGCTCAAAGTCAATGGGACACAGCCCAGGTCTGACAGATACAAAGCCCAGGCTCTCAATCGCTGCATGTCTGAGTTGCCCTAGGTGCTTGGGGACAAGCTGGCTGCTGTCACTGCCAGAGCTGCACCCACCTCTTCCATCTTCTTGCGGGGGGTGAATCCCAACACAGCCAAACCCCCAGACTCAATTGCCCTGCCCTGGACCCGCCCAGAAAACAGACTCAGCGGGCCTGTGTGGCCATCCCTCTCCCTAACCTGAGGTCCCCAAAGAAGGCGGGATTCCAGAACCCGCTTGGGCCAGAGTTTAGGGTGACAGGAGACTGGGCGCAGGTGGCAGGGGTGGGGGAGCACTGAGTATTTATTCCACACACGCCCTAGCCACAGCCATGCAGCCTCCCAGGACTCCACGAGGAAGGCTCTGTTATTCTCCCTCCCACTTCACGGGTGAGGAAAGCAAGGCTCAGCCCCCTAAGAGCAAGACCTGCGCGTGGGTCCGGGATTCTTGACCGGCAAACGCCAGCCTGGAGGGTGGCACCCCCTGCAGGCTGGTCCACAAACAGGGGCGCTTGTTTCCAGGGCAGGGGAGGCCGCCTTCCTGCCTGTGGCACCAACGCCACCAGGAAGCCAGCTCCCAGCTCAACAGCAGGAAGAGGGCATGGTGCCACTGGCTTCCAAACTCTGCCAGCCTGACCAGGCAGCCTAGACCACAGCTGCCACCCAGACGGGCAGGAAATTCCCCTTCCCACCACCGCTGCCAGGTTGCACATCCCAGACCCACAGATGCCGGGCCATGGTCCATCCCTGCCCTGACCTGAAGGCCGGAGGTCACCAGCGGCCCAGGAACTCTGCCCCTGGGGAACCAGCCACCTCCTCCAGGGAAACGGCTCAGAGGTCAAGGGCAGACTGTCAAAGAACATCAGCCTGGAGCCCAGAGAAATAAGGCTTTGCTGAAAAGAAATCAGACGAGGAATGATGGATGAGAGTGCTCGTCACAGTGCCAGGTGTGGCTCTCCGTGGAGAGCCCCTCAGCTCACCCAGCACCTCTGGCTAATAACAGTGACAGTGGCTTTATCAGAGCCTTACCCCACAGTCTTTAGGGGTCTTACTCTGTTGCCCAGGCCGGAGTGCAGTGGCATGATCATGGCTCACCACAGCTTCAACCTCCTGGACTCAAGCGATCCTCTCATCTCAGCCTCCCAAGTAGCTGGGATGACAGACACACGCCACCACATCTGGCTAACTTTCTTAATTTTTTGTAGAGTTGAGGTCTCACTATGTTTCCCAGGCTGGTCTCGAACTCCTGGGCTCAAGCGATCCTCCCACCTTAGCCTCCCAAATTGTTGAGATTACGGGTGTGAGCCACCATGCCCGGCCTGGCTTCAATTTAGCCATCACCTTCTCCAAGAAGCCCACCCAGCCCCAGTGTTGGATTAGCCTCCTTCTCTGGGCCCCTGAAGATGCCTTCTAGACCGCCGGTACTCTGGGTATGCTCACTGTCCATCTTCTAGTCCCTCTGCTTGACCCCATGAGCAACACAAAGGTAGATGTCACGTCACGCCTGCCATTGTGTCCCCAGCCCAGGGCCTGGCATGCAGCCACCTGGCGACCTCGCGTGGGAGCAATGAATGGAGGAACAAATGAATGATGGCCTGGGATCCCAGCCCTGAGACACCACTACCCCCCAGACCAGACCCTCCTCACCAGGCCTGCTCCAGCCGGGACCCTGCCGCCCTCCCTGTGGAGTCCCTGGGCCACCCTACCCTGCCACAGCCCTGGCCCAGCCTGACCCAATCAGTCCAGACTAGCACATTCTCGATTCTCTGTGCTTCCCTAGAAGTCCCAGCACCTGTCTCTCCCACCATGGCCACGACAAACACTCAGGGCCCCATCTGTCCCGGCTCTGTATGCCAAGGCACTGTGCCCACGGCTTCCGAGCAAAGTCCCAGTGCCCAGAACCCAGGCTTGAAATGGTGACATCATGGAAATCCCAGCCAAGGCCTTGCACTGGCGACTGAAGAATGCAGACTCCCGCCTGTGTCAAGGGGCTAAGCACCCCTCCATTTATTAAGCAGCCACAAGGGCGCCGCTCTCTGCCTGATTATCTGTCTGATCTCACTGAATCATCACAGCAGTCCGTGAGAGGAGTATGGGCAGCCCCATTTTACAGATAGGAAAACTGAGCCTCCATGGCCTGCCTTTTTCTTTTTTTAGAGACAGGGTCCTGCTATGTTGCCCAGGGTGGTCTCCTGGCCTCAAGCGATCCTCCCGCCTTGGCCTCCCAAAGTGATGGGATTATAGGCATGAGCCACTGTGACCAGCCTGAGTCCCCATGACCTGACCAAAGAACACAGGCGGTAAGTGACAGAGACGGGCCTGGAACTCAGGTCTCAGCAGTGAGAAGAGGCCTCATTTCAAGCTTGAACCAAAGTGTCTCTGCAGTGGGCAGCCTCCAAGATGGCCCAGTGATCCCTGCCTCCTGGGAGTCACCCTTGTGTAGTCCCTCCCCCGACACCCACCAGGGTTGGGCTGTGTGACCAGTAGAATATGGCAGAAGGAGCAGATTCCTTCAGCCCCAGTCGAACCCTCAGATTACAGCAGACCCAGCCAACAAACAGATTACAATCTCACGATGGAGCCTGAACTAGAATCACCCAGCCAGGCCACTCCCAGACTCCTGACCCTCAGACAATGAGACAATAAATACTCCTTATTTAAGCCACAAAGTTTTGGGACAACTCGTCACCCAGCAAAAGCTAACACGCACACCTCCTCTCCCTCCCGACATCCCTGGTTCCCAGATGCTTGGAAGCCACATGGTGCAAGTCCACACTGGCAGGTGAGGTATGGTGGCTCATGCCTGTCATCCCAGAACTTTGGGAGACTGAGGCAGGAGGATGGCTTGAGCCCAGGAGTTTGAGACCAGCCTGGGCAGCATAGCAAGACCCCATCTGTAAAAAGAAAAAAAGTAAAAATCCGCATTGGCAAGTCTGTGTTGCAGAGTTCTCTCCTTGCTCAGAGGCAGGGTGGAGGGCTGGGAAGGGACTGGGCAGCGGAGCGGGGAACAGGGTATACACTCACGTCCCACTGCCAGCTGGATCTCCACAGAGGCGTCGCCCAACTCATTGATAGCTCGGCAGGTGTAGACACCAGCATCCCTCTCCTGCACCGCCGGGATCCGCAGCATCCCAGAGCCAGAGTCCTCAGGGGCCAGGATCATCTCAAGACTTCCTGGACCAAAGAGGAAAAAGCATCGGCCTGTGCCCTTGGGACCACAGAGGGTATGGGGCTGCTCAAACCTGATGCAGGGCCTGCAGCTCTACAAGGCAGAGTCAGGACCCCGGGGTCCAGCCCTGCAGGGTGCTTGGGTCTTCCCTGAGCCCCTGTCAGCCTTTTTCTGACAGAGAAAAGGGGTGGGGCTTGGGCAGCCCCCTATATATCAGCTCCTTGCTAAGAACTCCAGGCCTGGGCCCTATCCCAGGTCCGGAGTGAGATTTGGACCAGCTCTGGGAGGGGTCCAGAAGGCCCTGAAGTGACCACACCCACCCCTGCCCACCTCTCTGAGGCCTCACCTCATGCCCCTGTGGCCTAACAGACATTCCTGATTCTGAGCTCCGCCTCTTAATTTTTGTGTGGGTGTGTTTCTTGAGTCGGAGTCTCATTGTCGCCCAGCTGGAGTGTGCGCTCAGGCGATTCTTCCACCTCAGTCTTCCAAGTACCTAGAACTACAGGAATGAGCCACCATGCCCAGATAATTTTTCTGATTTATTGTAGAGACGAGGCCTCGCCAAGTTGCCCAGGCTGGTCTCGAACCCCTGGTCTCAGGCAGTTCTCTTGCCTCTACCTCCCAAAGTGCTGGGATTATAGGTGTGAGCCATCGTGTTCAGCCCTCTCTTAAACTTAACTTAATTTATATTGTATGTATTGTGGCAAAATACACATCACATAAAATTTACCACTTTCACCATTTTTTTTTGAGTCGGGGTCTCACTCTATCTCCCAGGCTGAAGTACAGTAGCATAATCATGGCTCATCACAGCCTCTACCTCCTGGGCTCAGGCAGTCCTTCTGCCTCAGCTTTCCAAGTAGCTGGGACTACAGGTGGACACCTAATGCTTGGATAATTTTTTTTTATTGTCTGTAGTGACAAGGTCTCGCTATGTTGTCCAGGCTGGTCTTGAACTCCTGGGCTCAAGTGATCCTCTCGCCTCAGCCTCCCAGTGCTGGGATTACAGGTGTGAGCCACCGTGTCTGGTCTCACCGTTTTTGAGCATACAGTTCTGTGGCATAAAGTCCATTCACACTGCTGTGCAATCATCACCACCATCCGTCTGCAGAACTCTCCATCTTGCAAAACTGAAACTGTCCCCATTAGACACAAACTTCTGGCAAACACCATCCTCCTTCCTATCTCTATGAATCTGACTGCTCTGAGGACCTCATGTAAGTGGAATCATCCAGCATCTGTCCTTTTGTGTCTGGCTTATTGCACTGCGCATAATGTTCTCAAGATTCATCAGTGTCAGTGTGTGTCAGACTTTCCTTCCCTGCTAAGAAGGGATAATATTTCGCTGTAAATCTTTCTTTTAAAAACAGCATTTTGGGAGGCCGAGGCAAGTGGATTGCCCGAGCCAACGGGTTCGAGACCAGCCCGGGCAACTTGGCAAGACCTTGTCTCTACAATAAGTCAAAAACTAGCCAGGCGTGGTAGCACGTGCCTGTAGTTCCGGCTACTTGGAAGGCTGAGAAGGAAGGATCGCCAGAGCCCAGAGGGTCGACGCTGGGGAAGTTGTGAGCATGCCACTGCACTCCAGCATGGGTGATGGAGTGAGACTCCAACTCAAAAATAAAGTAAAATAAAAATAAAAACAGGCTCAGGTTGGGTGCGGTAGCTCACGCCTGTAATCCCATCTCTTTGGGAGGCTGAGGTGGGAGGATTGTTTCAGTCCAGGAGTTTGAGACCGGCCTGGGCAATATAGCAAGACCTCATCTCGACAAAAAATCAAAAAATTGGCCATGGTGCGTGCCTGTAGTCCCAGCTACTTAGGAGGCTGGGGGGAAGGATCGCCGGAGTCCAGGAGGTAGAGGCTGCGGTGAGCCGTGATTGTGCCACTGCCATCCAGCCTGGGCAACAGAGTGAGACCCCCGACTCAAAAAGAAAAAACAAAGAGCACAGCACAGGTGTGCACCAGGCTTGTTGTGAAGGCTTTACACACGTGAACTCACTTAACCCTATACAGCCAACCTATATTTGATCTTCCCCATTTTCCAGATAAGGAAACTGGCTCAGAGACACCAAGTCACCTGCCCAAGGTCACCCAGGAGCCCCAGGACTTGGATATGGGTCTGGCTCAGTCCTGCTCCTGACACCTCCGTCGTCCATGTTGACACTGGCTGGGGTAAGGGGAGGGACTGTGGAACCAGGCAGCCCCCCCAGAGACGACCTTCTGACCTTCCAAGTGTCCCCACTCCCTGTACTCCTTCTGAAGAGCTGTTCCTTCAGTACCCAGGGGGACAGTTCCCCACAGGCCTCCCCTAACGTACCTCGATACCAGATGACCCGGGGCGGGGGGACCCCAGACACCTCACAGGCCAGCACGGCTTCTTCCCCGGCAGCCACCAGCACCACAGCATTCACGGCAGAGACCGAGGGTGGGTCTGTGAGGGGAAAACACGGGGAACTGGGGGCCAGCCCTCAACGGCCTAGAGCGAGGCCGTCCACGGCGCGGGGAGACCCCCTCCCCACCTCGCTCCTGGCCGGGCTCACTCCCACCTCCGGGCCGCTGCCCTCTCCTGCCCCTCTGCCCGGGACCCTGTTCCCATAGAAAACCCTACGGCAAGGGTCACCTCTGCAAAGAGGCCTTGGCCAGGTCCTGGGTATGGCAGCCACTTCCCCCCACACCCTCCTGCTCTGTGATCACGGCAGCTTCACCACAAAACGCATCCCATGGCATTGCGTGTTTGCTGCCTGTTCGTTCAAATAGGACAGACAGGGATGCTGTGTTCACTGCTCGCACCCCAGGGTGTGGCACACAGGAGGGGCTTGACGGATCCTGGATACGGGCAGGAGGGGAGGGAGGAGGCTCCCTGCCTGGGATGCGCGACCCCGTACCTGTGTAGTAGAGGGTGACCGTCTCCTGGTCCGTGCCAACCTCATTCACAGCCTGGCAGCTGTAATTCCCAGCATCCTCTGGGGCGACCCCTTGAATGATTAGGGTCCCCTGGGCATCCACGCGGATTCTGGAGTCAGGCCGTAAAAACATGTTGGGTCACACAGGCATTGCTGCCTGGCCATCACAAAGGGCAGGTTAATTAACAACACCGCTAGCCACAGTCATTCTGCACTGGCTGCCTGCTCCAGGCTGGGCTGTGTGCTAAGCACTTCGTGTTGTAAGTTGTCCTTTTCTTTTTTTTTTTTTGAATCAGGGTCTCCCTCTTGTCGCCCAGGCTGGAGTACAGTGGCACAATCACAGCTCACTGCAGCCTCGACCTCCTGGGCTCAAGCGATCCTCCTGCTTCAGCCTCCCAAGTAGCCAGGACTACAGACACGTGCCACCACACCCAGCTAATTTTTCTTTTCCTGTAGAGATGAGGTCTTGCTATGTTGCCTAAGGTGGTCTCAAACGCCTGGGCTCAAACCATCCTCCTGCCTCAGCCTCCCAAAGTGCTGGGATTACAGGCATGAGCCACTGTCCGGCCAGTTGTCCTTTAATTCACGAGGCTCAGACAGGTAAAATGACTTGCCTAGGTCACGCGGCCTGCATGCCAGAGGTAGGACCTGAGCACAGGTCTGCAGATTCTGGAGCCTGAGCTCCTGATCACTGAGCCCAAGTTGTGGCACTGTTAAGTTTCCAAAGTGAGCTCGGCTGGGTGTGGTGGCTCATGCCTGTTATCCCAGCACTCTGGGGGGCCAAGGAAGGAGGTTCACTTGAGCCCAGGAGTTTGAGACCAGCCTGGGAAACACAGCGAGACCTCGTCCTTACAAAAATAAAAATAAAAAAAATTAGCCAGGCGTGTTGGCGCACACCTGTAGTCTCAGCTACTCATGAGACCAAAGTGGAAGGATGGCCTAAGCCCAGGAGGTCGAGGCTGTGGTAAGCCATGATCGTGCTACTGCACTCCAGCCTGGGCAACACAGTGAGACTCTGGCGCAAGACAAACAAAACAAAATGATCTGGCCAGAGTCTCAAATGACCCAGAAGCACGGCCGGCAGATGCTACTCCCTGTTTACAGGTGAAGACCGAGGCCCAGAGAGATCCCTGGGAGCCCCTGTCCACCTGCCACCAGTCCCCAAACTCTGTGTCCCGAGCCCCTCACCTGCTGTCCTCTTGCAGCACGTGGCCGTCACGGCTCCAGGAGATGTGGGGCGCGGGGTACCCCGAGGCCGTGCAGCTGACCTTCACCTCCACGCCCTGGGAGAAGCGCTGGGACCTGGTATGGATGCTGACCTGCGGGGCCTCTGTGGCCCGCGGCAGACGGGCAGGGAAGGGCCCGTCAGAACAGCCGTGCCAGGGGCCCCGCCCTGGCCCCTTCCCCCCCCACAGCCACAGACGGATGAGACACGGAAGCAAAGGGCAAAGGGCCTGGACCCCACAGAACAGCGTCCCTGGGACCCAGAGGAGCCCTGATGGCCACTCAAGGCCCCCCCAGCCACAGCGGGGCTGATTTCCCGACACCCCCCCAGCCTGGAGCCTCCTGCTCCCTGGAGTTCTGCCCCGGGCTGAGCACCTTGGGAGCCCTGGGGAGAGGTTGGGCCAGGGCTGGGGTCGGCTCTTGTCTTGTGACCTGGAGGCGGACCCCGAGACCTGCCCTCCCAGTGGCCCCAGACTTAGGCTCCATCCTGGCCCGTTGGAAGCTCACACTGCAACAGACCAGGCAGAGCTCACGGCCAGCACGTCTAGAAGCAGCAACCCAGCCCTCCCACGCCCATGGCAGACATAGTAGTCAATCTCCTTCCCACAAAACCCAGATGGGCCCTCAGAATCCTGCTCAACACACTCCGGGCAGCCACCCAAGAACTGCAGGAAGGTCCGTCCAAATCCTGGGTAGACCTGAGGCCATGCCCAGCTCTTTTTAATTTTTTATTTTTTGAGTCTGAGTCTCACTCTGTCGCCTAGGTTGGAGTGCAGTGGCACGCTCACAGCCATCGCAGCCTCGACCTGCTGGGCCCAGCAATCCTTCCACCTCAACCTTCCAAGTAGTTGGAACCACAGGCATGCGCCACCACATCCAGCTATTTTTTTTTAATTTATTGTAGAGACGAGGTCTCGCCATGTTGCCCAGGCTGGTCTGGAACCTGTGGGCTCAGGCAATCCTCTCACCTCGAACTCCCAAAGTGCTGGGATTATAGGTGTGAGCCACCATGCCCAGTTCACACCCAGATATCAAAACTCCCAGAAGGTGCTCTTTTCTCTCCTGCGCTAGTCAGGGCTGCCTAGCCTCTGCTAAGCACATCTGATCTCTGAGCTTCCACAAGGTTACGGTATTCTGTCCCTGCCCTACACATTGGGCGGGAGAGGTGGGAACAATGGAGGGGTTTGATGGCATGGGAAAAAGACCAAACAATGAAATGGGCTTGGCCTCCAGCAGTAGTTATTTAAGCTAGATATTAGGACGAACTTCCCAACAGTGAAAACCACCAGACTTTGGCTAGGAGGCCACAGCATCCTCTTCCCCAAAGGCCCAGAGAATACCGGAAAGGGTCGATACCACTCAGTGTCTGGGGCAGAGGGGAGCAGCAGTGGTAGGAAGTGCCTCACCTCGCACCAGGAGCCAGACGGATGCCCGTGAGGCCCCATTGGCGTTGCTGGCCATGCACTGGTACCGCCCGCCATCGCTGGGGATGACACCGCTGACCTCCAGGGACAAGT